AGGGGGGCTCCCCCCCACCAAAAATTTCTCAAGATTCCTCTTTGGTCGCAGAATTGACGACGATTCTCCAGAAAAAGACGGTTTTCCAGGTAATCGACCCTGAGGACTCTGAATTTCATGGTCCCTAAGCTCCGCTACCCGCCCTTTTGGGCAGAAACCGCCTTTTTTTGGAGAATCGACGTCAATTCTGCGACCAAAGAGGAATCTTGAGAAATTTTTGGCGGGAGCGGAGCCTTCCTCCTCATGGGTTACTTTCTGCCGTTCAGAGGGGTCAATTAAAACTCTTGGGGGTCACTTAAGATGTAAAAGTGTTCTGCTCCTCAATTTGGATGCAATCAATTTGCGATTCGGAAAGGAGCCCCGATTTTTAAAATTGGGCCCCCCGTTTACCTCCCAAGGGGAGCTAGAGGAGCTTCGGGACCATGAAATTTGGATTTCTCGAGGTCGATTACCTGGGAAACCATCTTGTTCTGGAGAATCTACGTCAATTTTGAGACCAAAGAGAAATTATGGAGGGGGGTACTGTCCCCCTCTTTAGGGGGTCATTTTTGGGCCTTGGATGGGCCGATTATGGATTTTTAGGGGTCAATTTCACGTGAAATTTTCCGTGCTTTTCAATTCTGATGCGATTAATCCGCAATTCGGTCGGGAACCGTAACTTTTAGCATCGTGACTCCCCCTTTACCCCCCAAGGGGAGGTGGGGGGGTTTCGGGACCATGAAATTCGGATTCCTTGGGGTCAAATCCCTATTCAACCCCGCGGTCCCCGACTTCGTGCGACCTAAAACAACCGAGAAAAAGGCCTGGTACGGGTGGTCTGAAACACCCTGTATTTAACTAGCCGTGATTAGCTCGCTTTGCGAGCGAGCTGACACGCCTAGCTAGGGAAAGCCCCACGCACCTTGACGAGACCGTGTCCCTAGTAGCCAAAATAGTGCCATCAAATAGGTATCGTACAGATACCCTATTTTATAGGTATTTAATGGATATTTTATGGGGTATAAAATATACATATTTAGATCCATCAATTTTATAGGTATTTTACATGATTTTTTGTAGGTGTATCTCAAAAGCACATTTTATACCTATTGATAAGTATCAAACCAATTTCGCTCTTTTAGTTTCATGGAAATGGAAATTTCCATGGGGACACTTGCTTCTCTAGAAATTTAGGCCATGGTTGGTTGCTATACGCTACTGAACCTTGAATTTTCAACAGCGACTTGATGATAAGAATGCCATTTGACGAAATTGAGCCGAAAGGCACAAGTATGGGTTCTTCACATTTTAGTCACAGCTGATTGCTCGCTACCAAACTATGGCTAAATGATCAGAAATTCCATTCAAATTACTTTAAGCATTCATTCCTTTTATTAAATGAGACATTTATATTTTTTTTTTTTCGTTGTCTTGACTTAATAAACTACCTAAAAGTAGTTATTTCTACATTAATCCAAAGAATAAATAAAGACTCGTCGATCGAATTGATTCTTTTGAGTAATCATCATTTTCCTTTTCTTTCATGTCTTGATTCTGGAATCTCTTATGTCACGATGTTGATCTGTATTATTATTTTTATATACCTGTTTATATTTTGGTTCTCTTCATCTCTTTACTAGGATGTATTCTAAGCCTTTGGTTTAGTATTCATTTGTTCTTTTTATTCATGAGTAAAAAATAAACAATTTTTATAAGTATTACGTATGCTATCTATTGTACAGGCCACCTAGAAACCTACTTTTTACACATTTAGAATGGTACCCCATCATTTGGGGCATCAACTCCCTTTTATACCCATCAAATATGGTATTTAATGCATACCCTATTTTATACCTATTTCATATGGTAGTTTATACTTTAAGAAAAGGACACTTTATAGTGTATTTTAATATGGTATTTTACACCTATTTCCAGGTATTTAATACCCTATTTGATAGGTATTTTAGTCCAGGCAAATAAGCCGTGAAAGGGGTTATAGCCTGCAAAAATCCCGGGTAGCAATGTTTTCATCGATTCCTATGTATTTTTTGACGCTAAATCCGAATTTCAACTTTGCGCCATAAAATTCGGACCGGAAAGTTACCAAATTTGGCAAAAATGGCCTAAAATCAGCATTTTTTGCGGATTATGGCCTATGTAACTCGCCAAAAATTGATCTGACGACATAATTAGTTATTTTCAGAAATAAAACTCGTTAAATTTCCTATCAAAAAAATTCTACACATTTTTTTGCCTAAGGGCAAAATTAAGCGCGGTGGCGGGCGCCAAACTTTGAAAAATGAGCGAAAATTGCGGTTTTTTTGCGGTTTTTGCTTTATGTCTCCTTTTTTAACCGTCTGCAGAGTAATTTCTGGACAAATTAAGTGAAGATAATAAAATTCACACTGAGTTCCATGAATCGATGTAAAAAAAAGGAGCTCAACACATTGCAGTGTTGCCAAAATTACCGAAAATTGTTTGTTGGCGGTTTTGGACCATTAATTGCCTTACTATCCGTCTATTTGTTTAGTCTCCATTTTGTAAAGCGGGAATAATGAATCGAAATCAGCGGAAGGAGGATAAAATAAATCTTTGTCACATTTTTTTTCAACAGTAAGAAGTTTTCTTCATTCAGTTTTTTTTCATCAGTTTTTTTCCGTGTAAAATATTGGATTCTTCTTTACAACGCTATGGTTTAAATTTTCCTGGCCGCTGCTGATTGAGTGACTGAATGTTTGTGAATGTGCGTATGCACGCGTTTATTTTTAAGTCAATAATAATTAAAACATACCTACCATTTTTGAGAAGAGTAATGTTTAAGAATTAGGTATTGAAGTTTCGTGAAAAACTTGGTCTGAGGTTGTGGGGACACCACGCAAAAATAAAACGCGCCGTGTACTGGACCTCTTGGGTGGCGTGGAAGCAAGTACTAATAATTATATTTATATATTCTGCCTTGATATGTACGTTACTTTTATATAAAATGAAGTTAATCGATTTTATATATAAATTGCCAAACTAATTTCATACTTCATATTTACATTTTTTGATCTATGCCATTTTCAAGGAGCTCGATGTCCTGGCGCAACTGCACTACAAGTGTCACGATATGAGCACTTTAGTGGACGCACAACCCTCTGAAGTGTTTCCACCTCATTCTGATGAAAAAAAATATGACAAAGAAGTATTTCATCCTCCTTCCGCTGATTTCGATTCATTATCCCCGCTTTACAAAATGGAGACTAAACAAATAGACGGATAGTAAGGCAATTAATGACTGAATGAAAAAACTGATGAAAAAAAACTGAATGAAGAAAACTTCTTACTGTTGAAAAAAAATGTGACAAAGATTTATTTTATCCTCCTTCTGCTGATTTCGATTCATTATTCCCGCTTTACAAAATGGAGACTAAACAAATAGACGGATAGTAAGGCAATTAATGGTCCAAAACCGCCAACAAACAATTTTCGGTAATTTTGGCAACACTGCAATGTGTTGAGCTCCTTTTTTTTACATCGATTCATGGAACTCAGTGTGAATTTTATTATCTTCAGTTAATTTGTCCAGAAATTACTCTGCAGACGGTTAAAAAAGGAGACATTAAGCAAAAACCGCAAAAAAACCGCAATTTTCGCTCATTTTTCAAAGTTTGGCGCCCGCCACCGCGCTTAATTTTGCCCTTAGGCAAAAAAATGTGTAGAATTTTTTTGATAGGAAATTTAACGAGTTTTATTTCTGAAAATAACTAATTATGTCGTCAGATCAATTTTTGGCGAGTTACAGGCCATAATCCGCAAAAAATGCTGATTTTAGGCCATTTTTGCCAAATTTGGTAACTTTCCGGTCCGAATTTTATGGCGCAAAGTTGAAAATACGGATTCAGCGTCCAAAATTAGGTACATAAGAATCGATGAAAAAATTGCGACCCGGGATTTTTGCAGGCTCTTTTCCTTGTTTACCTGGACTATTACTAAGATTCAATCTCTCAATCCGAAACATTTTCATTTTCTTTTCATTTCATGGTTATTATACTCTCTTTTTGATTTGTGAAGAGTTTGCTTAAGTATGTATGCCTTCTGATTAATTTTTTTGTAAATTTTTGTCCCTTTCATTGCCTGTGATAAACAATTATTTAAAGCTTTCATTGTCCAAAATGAGTATTTCCTGTTTTACGGTACATTTGCTCTGCTACCAGTGGATGAATAAATAAACAATAACACATTTCGCTCCACTTTGGGGCATGGATTTTACATTATTTTCCATAGCACAATTATTCAATTTCATTTAGGTACGTTTTTCTGTTGCAATGTTCATTAAGTTTTAGTTGTTTACTCCCATTAGTACTAGGTGATTAAGTTTTAGGCGACAGGATCATATTCTTAGAACCATCGGTACAATTGGAGTTATTGTAGAAAACAAATAGCGCGCCAGTGAGCAGCGCTTGTAGCGCCTTCAACATCGTAGATGTGCTTCAAACGTTACACCGTTATGCATCGGTTTCCCCTATTTGATAATTAAAAATTCTGTCTTTGAGAATGTCAACGGGTAATTAAATTTCCCTACTGGTAAAACCATTATTACTGTCCTGAAAAGATTTTATCCAGTCAGCTTGCTATTTTCTTTTTTTCTCATTTTTGAGTCCTGGTGGACTCTTTGGTGCGGAATTGTTTTAGATAAAATTGCAAGTAATATGTGAAAATTATGTTTCCCGTTCAAAGTGCAATGGTTCTTGATGCATGATTTTGAAGCAGCAATATTAGGACTTAAGAATTCTCATCTTATGGATCCAAGGGCTCCCCCTCCCCCTTCCCGCGTCATGGCAGTCGATGTAGAGGTCAGTATGTTTTGGGGCTAGTCTGATCGCACGCGATACGTGATGTCTCGTTGTCGTGACCGTCATGATCATGCTATGTCAGCTCCGTGCGATTGTATCTGCAAATAAAAGAAAAGCCGAGTGTAATTCTACCATCTGAGAGCAAGGACGAGGACGAGGGAGCTGCCTTATTATTATGTTGATTACTTATCAAGAAATGAGTCTTGCCCGAGTTTCTCGAAGAAGGACATTTTTTCAGCAACGTATGATCCCGCTTTCGCGGTCCAGCCTCCCAGGTACGTGGACATGGACTCTAGTTGACCAGGAGCATCTAAAATCAACAACATTTAACAAAAATCGATCAATAATTATGACAATACGAGGAGATAATTATAAAGGAATGAAAAATCACTAGATTACCATCATGAGACAAATTCCAAAACTTCTTGTCCTAATTTTCAATCAAATTAGTTTTTCTGTAAAATTGGAAGGGTCTAGTTCCCTCGATAACCTGCTATCAGAATGCACCCTATCAAATATTTTTTTGCAGGGCATTGCTAGTGTGTCGTCAACTCACAAGGCCAAAAAATACGAAAGAAATAGGTAACCCTAACCATTTTGTTGCTTTAAAAGTTCCACCTAAATGACTTTGGATACATTGAAACTTTCTATCTTCAACTTGTATTTGAATATTTCGCAATTCTCGTGTGTTCGTAAATGCAGCTCTTAAAAATTGTCTACATCCTTCTTGGTAATACAAATCAAAGCATGTGCAGGGTCTGTTAGATTAGCAACCGGATTTTGGTAATACGCAGCACTCTGAACGTCCAAATTAGGTTTTATTGAAATTTTCGGAAGCTGATAACATACTGAAAATGTCTACTTTAACAGAATTAGTATATCTAATTTAGTTATAATTTAATGGCGGATTGCATACAAGCGCCAGCAACTAGTGTTTTGCAGTTTATTTTTTTTTTTTTTACAGAAAGAATAATGAAGAGTGCGCGATGAAAAGTCAATCACGCGATTGCCGATGAAGCAATATTACGGAAGACGTGACGGCATCAAAAAGTCTGTGTCGTTGGCACTCTAAATATTGTCATTAAACATGTCTCTGAATAACGTTTTCAGAGAACAAAAGATGGTGTTGCGCACATTCCGCAACAGTCAGAACTATTGAATAACTATATAATAACTATATATTCACTTTTATAATAATAATATTCATAATAATACTGTGGATATGACTTTTTTCACACGGGTTTATAGCGTTACAATGCGTATGTATATAGAACTCTGTTACCACGTAGACATATCTGGTTGAAGCTTAAACAGCTTTAACAAGTTCCCCCCTTGAGGTTGCCTCAATATTCAGTTTCAAATATTTACTTAAATTTTGACTTATTTTCAACATAACGATTTGTAAATGTATAAGATGTTTATGTAAAACCAATTTTAAACTTTAATTTATTAGTTCTTGTTTTTCTACGCCATTAAGTGCATAAAATAGTGCATCCCAATTTTTCACTTGGTTTTGATCTTGAAGCCACGACGCTAGGGTCAACGCCGTAGTAATTCTTCTCGTCTGAAGGAACTTGCAGGCACTTTCGAGAGGAGTTAAAAGCGCTAGGACTAGGAGGTTCTTCAGAGTCAAATTGAAATTCAGTTAAAAAGTAGACAAATTTCAGCTGTCGTAACATCTGTTGACATTTAAATATTTTATGAATTTCGACGCATCATTTGTTGTATTCTTCTCAATACTCGGGAACATTTGCTTTTTATGAACTTCATTTACAGAAAGCACTGCCTCATTAAAAACTTTAACCATACAGGGTTATTCAAAAGTTACGCACCACTGGCCATAACTTTAGTTCTAATTATGATATCGATTTGCGGTTTGTGGCGTCCTTCCTCATATCGAAGGGGAAACTTTTTGAGGTACTTTTCAGTTCTTCAGCCCCCCAGGGGGAGGGGGGGGCGGGGGGCAACTCAAAAATTTCAAACGGCAACCCCCATCATGGGATACATCGTTAGAAAGAGCATGAAAAAAAAAAAATTTCCGCAAACCGGAAGTCAATCTGACCCCCCTGTCATAAGTTAGGGGGGTCCAAAGGTTATTTAGGGGGTCCGTACCTTCATTTTTTAGAGTAGCTTCGGCGGCTCTTGGACATACCGTTTCTCTTTTCAAAGAGTCCTCGAATACTCCAAGTCTGATACCGAAGTCTTCATATTGCCCCCGGGCCACCACAGCCCCCCCGTAGGGGAGGATGGGCCTGTTACAATGAAACATTGCATTAAAATGCGAAAAGTCACAGAAGAGCTTTAAACTTAGCATCAAATCCGAGTGGAACTTCTTGCCAATGTTAACGCAAACGCAGCCTGCGACTTTAAAGTGAGTTTTCAAAACTCTTAGCCCCCTGCCCCCCCTCATTTTTGGTTGCAGAGCGGGTAAAAACCGGGAAATTCACTACAAATAATGCCCGAAACTAATGTTCAACTTAAGGAGGACCCTTGAAACGTTGCGATCAGTCGGAGCATTGAAATACAAGGACTGCCACCCCCTTAAAGTACGGAAACATCCAAAACACCCCCGCTGCCCCCTTCATTTTTCGTTGCGGAGCGGGTAAAAACCGGGAAAATCGCCAGAAATGATGCCCCGGTTCTCATCAGCTCTGCAACGAAGAAAGAGGGGGGCAGCGGGGGTTTTATGGATGTTTCCGTCCTTAAAGCGGGCGGCAGTTCCTGTGTTGCAGTTCTCCGACTGAGCGCAATGTTTCAAGGGTTCTCCTCAAGTTCTACAGTGGTTTCGGGCATCATTTCTGGCGATTTTCCCGTTTTTTACCCGCTCTGCAACGAAAAAAAGTACAGTGTACAGTGAATCGATTTCTGATTTGTTTGATTCGGATAAGCATTGACAGAATGACTGTTGTCATTTGTTGTTTTCCGAATTCAATCTGCTCCTTTCTAAAACATAACATTACTACTCTCACTTCATTATTTTTGTTGAAGAATAGGGGTTCTTGATTGTCATTCATTGTTTTGATTGCTTTGGTAACATTGCTCACCCACTAGTTGGGTATATGTGAGTTGCATTCTGCAATGTAGCTTTACACAGAGGTCGTCGCGTTTTCGCGTAGTTTTTGATTGTTAAGATCTGTCAGTTCTTTGTTGAATTTGGGTGGATTCATGATCATGAGTTATTCATTTTAGATTTCATGATTCATGATCAGTTGTTCCTTTGAGACCTAATGCTTCATTATTCTTCCTCGGGCCTTCGTTGTTCTGCCTCACGTTTACCAAGAGATTGTTTGAAGTTATGAGGAAAGCTTGCTTCTGTTCCTTATAACCAACGAACCAACGATGTCTTCTACGGTCGACATGTATCTTGTACGCTGTTAATATTATCTCTAACTCTGTCTAGAGCTGCTTCCGCCATTCGGGCTCTTTCGAACAAGTTGGTACTTTGAAGAATGACGTCATCAAGTGCCTCAGCGAAGATGTTGTTTTCTTCCATAAGGATTTTCACATCTGACTTTAAATGTTTATGTTCTAGAGTGCAGGAAAAACCGCTCAACGAGAGCAGCATTTAATTGAATTATACTCTAATCATTTGATTTGGTCACCTAAGCTATCACAGGTGATGATTATTTATTCTTATCATTCCCGGCGAAACCAAATTGTTTCAGTGTGGGCGCACGCTTCCTTGTGTTTGTGAATTTTAAAGCACTCTCTGCTCTGCTCGTTATTTTAGACGGTTTAGAGATACAGGAAAATAAACTTGAATGCCTCCTTCTTCTGTTTCCATTATTTTCTTCTTTTGCGTTTCTTTTCATCGTCGTCTCTCATATTCCTGTTAATTTGTACATCAACGGAGAGTGGTGGCGGTTAGAATACCGTAAAGTACGCGATGAGCATTCAGTCAGGGTTTCATACAGGATTTCATGCATAGGATGTAGGATAAGCAGGACAACACAAGATGGACAGGAGAACATGTGACGGACGGGACAGCAGAGGATATGGATAGACTCGGTTTAGTTCCATTATTGTTTGCTCTTAGTCGATAGTAGGTTACCTGAAACCAGATAAAAATAGAAACAGGAAAACGAACTATCTATCTTGAACATTGATATTAACTTGAGATCATAATGGTATGCCTGATAATATCGGATAATTTAGTCCATCTTGCTTCTACCCTTCGTGTAAAATCTTCTTCATGTTTTTTCTCATCCAGAGATGCTTCGTATCTCCACAGCTAGAAATTCAGACCATGGGTAAAAATCGCTTTTCAATACTACTGATCGCCAATACGGGATTCTTAATACTTTTTGAACTTTACTCTGTGGTACGTTCGATGAATAAGGATCTGCATTCTCATTATGTAAACCACTGAACTCAGACTCATTTGTCAACACTTCTCTTTTATCTCCTTACTTCAGCAGTATTTATTAGTCTTCCATAGTCTTTCAGCTTTACATTTAATCTTTAATGAGCCTGTTACATGCAAGAGATACAGCCGTGCGAATAGACTTTTTAGTGGTTAAATGACACGAAAATTACGATGCACACATTAAAAAAGTCTGAAATACACTCCTTATTGCGCAATTTGCGTTGTCAGGAACGCACTTTTTTCAAATTTCCCGCGTCTGGGGGCAGTTTTCTAACGGAAACAATTAACGGCAACTCGCAGCTATTTCTGGTCAACTAAAACTGACAACATAACCTAAAAATCGGAGTTCGTGATATCGTGAAATGAAATGTAGAAGGATTGCGTTGGATATTTAAAAGTTGATCGATTTGGTTTCTGCATAAAGCGTATATGGACCACTATAAGTGATCACGTTGGGTTTGTAAACAAACTGAAGGAAAAAATAACAACAACAACAACAACGACTCGACATCTTCCGGAAATCACCGAGCCCGCCGTTTGCTCGTTTCCGGTGATTAGAAAACTGCCCCCAGACGCGGGAAATTTGAAAAACCGCGTTCCTAACAAAGCAAATTGCGCAGTAAGGAGTGTATTTCAGACTTTTTTAATGTGACCATCGTAATTTTCGTGTCATTTAACCTCTAAAAAGTCTATTCGCGCGGCTGTATCTCTTGCATGCAACAGGCCCATTATTTCTTTATATATCTTTACTTTTCCTCACAACAAATTCCTCAATTCTGTCATTTCTATTCAAGAGAATTATTAAAAGTATAAGTATATCATACATTTTGGATGATTTCCTTCCGCACCAAATTATAAATCAAATAAATAATAATTAATCCGCAAAAATAATGAGTTAGAATTTTCGTAAAAAAATTCATACATGTTAAACTTGCTTTTTGTGT